TTGTTGATTGTGTCAAATTGTCACTGTCGGGTTTCTGCTGTCCAGGTAATAATGCTGAGCTAATAATGTCGAGTTGATATTGAGTTACTGCTCTTCAAGGGATGCCATCGAGGTGATGGTGTCAAGTTGATGCTGTCGAGTTGATGCTGTCATTGAAATGATGACCAACATTGGACAAGGCCAGAAACATTTGGGTTAAAGTCCCAGACCAGTATCATATGATGTCAGCAAGATCAGTGCACCAAACCTGAAAGAACTTACCTTAGAATAATCCAAACCTGGATTATATGTCATTAATTGGCAAAAGGCATGAACTACATAATAGAATATGCAGTTAGACTCTGAAAGAGGCCAAAACATTGTTGCCACTTGATTATGCCATCAATAGGCCAGTAGCTGAGATCAGAAGTTTCTTAACCGCTTCCTAGATACCAATGCCCTTGAGTGTTCTGTTTTCACCAAATTACAATTTTTTCAGTGAGTTATCTAGACCTGCAATAGTTAGGTGATAGGAATTAGGTGTGCTGGAGTGAGAAAAGCATGACACTGTGTAGAGGATTGGTGTTGAAAACCACTGGTTTAAATTACCATGTATGAGAGACAATCATAATCTAGTAGTAATCTTAAGGATACTGTTGACGACAGCCAAAATTGGCTGAACATACCAGTAAGTGTTATTCTTGTAAGGCTCTCCATGAGCTGACTTCTGCCACAGCAATATATCCCTAGCATGAAAGCATGATTAGACAGTAAGTCAATTCCCTAGCATGATGGTCAAGTGGAATCTACTGGAAAAGAGCAAAGGGTAAAGAAAGTTTCTAAACATTTCTTGCACATTTTCTTACCCACCCCTAGTAGGTTTTTGGCTCAGCTGGATGGTCGTGTTTATGCAAGGAACAATAAGGGTGGAATTGTCTGTCCTTGAGCAGCAAGCTCCTGCGGAGATGCACAGGAGCATTGGCAATTGAAAAGAAATTTCTTTCTACAAATGGGCTGTAGATAGCCTTGCGCTATTATCTCCCCAGAATCAAAAATGATATGAACCCAGAATGGCAAGTGCTCATGTGAGGCAAGGCAATGAAAAGCAGAATCTTATGGTGACACATTGCCCTTGGGTCCTTCAGGTTTGAGACTAGGCAGGTCAGGCAGGCAAAAGAATTTGTTTAGCTGTACAAGTAAGGACGCATACAATTTAACAGAAATGTCTAGTATGAATAATGTTTCAGAGAAGGAATGGACTGAATCTTGTGTAATTTTCTTTTTCAGTATTTGTACTCAAGTGAATTATCACTACAATGACAGAACTTTAACGCAGGTCTGAATGTTCATTAATCTTTCCACCACTGATTGCTATTTAATTTGGCTTTCTTTGTTTGCCATATACAGTTGTTTGCTAAGTGCTTAGTGTACCATTAATCAACACACCATTAGGTATCATATGGTCCATTCAAAAGTAATCATACTTTTGACACTGAAAGGTACACAAATGAAGCACTCCCTCTTCTAATGGTAAAAGTCATAAAAACACTGGTGCAAGCCTGAGGATATCTATTTAGCTAGCTAGTAAACAGCTATTAGATCTTTTTTTTTTTGATGAGCCATGTAAAAGCAAAATGACAGTGGAAAGGAGACTGATAAGAATATCAACATTTCTCTCAAATACACTATAAAGTTTGTGCACCCCTGACTATTACATATGTGCTTGATGGACATCCCATTCCAGACTTATTCCCCGTTTGCTGCTATAATAAGCTCCACTCTTCTGCGAAGGCTTTCCGCTAGATATTGGGGTGTGGTTGTGGGGATTTGTGTCCATTCATCCACAAGAGCATTAGTGAGGTCAGGCGCTGATGTTGGGATGTCAAGGAGGCCTGGGGTGCAGTCGGTGTTCCAGTTCATGAACCTCAGGGTCATCATGGAACTTGCTTTTTGCACATGGGCATTCTCAAGCTGGAACAGGTTTGTGCCCCTTAGTTCAAGTGAAGGGAAATTGTAATGCTACAGTATACAAAGACATCTGATACAATTGTGTGCGTCCAACTTTTCCAAATTTCTGGCAACTCTTGGGAAACACCCAAATGTTGGTGTGATGGTCAGGTGTCCACAAACCTTTTTACCAAGGAAAGACTCAGGATAGACAGGATAGAATCCACCGTAACAGCAGATGTGTACACCACTATATAGAGAAACTAATCACAGCTAAAAGTATTGACAATTTTTTACTTCTGAATTGGTGAACACAAGAAGAATGAGTCATGCATGTGGAATCAACTAAACCTAGTCAACTCAACCCTATTAAGCCAAATATTGTTATTCTGCCCTAATAAGATATAGCTTCCTGTTTACACTTTGTTTATCACATCCAGACCAAGAAGGTTTCCTGGCTAGATTTGGAGAACCTGTCCTAAGATGTACAACCAACAAATTTCCCAAAAGCAGCAAATATTTATTTGTGCTTTCCAGTTCCAATGTCCTTTGCTGGCCATGAAGGTATACAGTTATATTTTTATCTTCTTTACCAAACTAGATAGAGGTCACCATCTTTTTTTAAGAGAGTTAAAAGGTGATTTGAAGGCTATGAATCTTTCAGAAAACTCAGTTTAGTATTCTATCATGAGCAGGAGGATATGGGTCCTCACGCGGAGAGAAACACCTGCGCCAGAGCCCATTTCCAATCTCTGGGCTTGCATCCTTGGAGTGCCCTCTCCAGCCTCTCTATCAATGGCACAAAACAGTGCAGAATTGTGAGTGTAGTCAGCTTAGAGGCTTCGAGAAAATGCAGACAAATCCCATCTGTTCTCTCATCCTTTTACCTCATACGCATTTTTGACACTTTGCCGTGTTGTCTAGAGACGCTGTGAATGCAAACTGTTGCAAGTGCCAGGACTACAGATGTTTTTGTGGCGCTTTAACCTTCCTTCTGCCTACACAGTCTGACTGAGGCGCAGGCCAGGCATTTCTCGATCTCGAGTTCAATTCAATTACCAAATATTTATTGCTCAGATCATCTCTGTAACCTTTATACGCAAATGCCAAAGATGGAGGTAGAATCATACTTTCTTCAGCAGAATGTTTATTTCCTCTGTATACACAAGACATGCCCATATTTCAGCATGGTTTGTGGTGCACCAACTTATTTTCAAAAAGTTTATTCATCTCACTGACTGCACTTTGCACAAGGACAACCAGCATGGATTTCATTCGATTTATTATATAAAATCGTAATAAAAGCCATGACCAATAACCCTGCTTATAATGTTTCATTGCTAATTCTAATAGTAGTGCAGCTGCAAATCGCAGGTTTATATTAATGTACTAATTCTAATACTTTATTTTACAATAACAATTTACACATTTGAACACCATTTGACTGCCATGTATGTTCAAAATTTCATTTCAATCAAGGGAATTCTTGCCTGCTATATATGACAGTAGAGTGCAAATGTTTGCATAACCTTAGGGAGAAGATGAAGAGTGCAAAGAAATGTAATTTACACCAACAGAACCTTTAGTTGCTTAGGTTTCAGCAATGTTCCCTCAGTATCACAAGTAAGAATAATGGCCAATAAATGTACATTAAGGTATTTAAATGACATCAGTTCAAAATCCTTTAATAACTTGCAGGTCCACCACGTGACTGTTATAACTTCCTCCAACCTTTCATAATCATTCCCCTTATCATCACGAGTTACTTTTTCTTTTCCTTTTTTTTCTTTGTTGTATGATGTAACTTTGCCAGAAAAGAATCAGAAGGTTATTTTCATGCAAAAATCTGAGAACAAAGGATAAACTCAAAAGGGCAGATCACTAAGTTACAGCAAATTAATTAATGTCCTTAAAACTAAATAAATCAATTAATTAAAAAAATCAATACCTTGTATTAATCTCACTTGGTGTCATGCTGTTATAGGAAAATAATCAACGATGGGGTGTTACCACCCTGTTTCCACCCTGTAGTTGATTTTTTTCCTATAACAGCATGTACAATATGTTTTTCTTCCTTTTTTACCACAGCAATTTGCACACAAAAACAATTTATTTATTTAATAAACTTCAAGTTCTCACTTACATTATAGCAGCTATAAACGATCGGTTCTTCACCAGCTTCTCTATTTTCGCAAAACGGGAAATCGCAAAGCGTAAACTCCTCTGGCAGAAACGTTACAGACTGTTACAAAGCATTGACACTTGAGACTAAATAAACTTTGTAAAATCTGTTTATTATTAGTGGAGTGTCCTCTGTACAAGTCCCTGTGAATGCGCTGTTACTATAAAAACGATAACGTATTAGAATGGGTGCATTAATATAAACCTGTGATTTGCAGCTGCACTACTGTCAGAGCTGCTGTTATAGAAAATGAATCGACAGCTTCTGACCAATCAGAATGCAGAATTCAACAGGACATAATTATGATGTGAAAATGCTGATCTCCTAAACATCTATGTAACCCCAAAGCAAGAAAGTTCAGTTCTACCCCAAAATATATCCAAGATACTCAAAAGCATTATACAGTTCTTCATGCTAAGTGGTAGACAGTACGTTTAACGTGATGCTCCCTCTGCAATTTAATGATGATCATCGTGCTGTGGTGCTTTTTTTTTCACACTTAAGCTGCCAGATCTGCTGGCATTGTTAATGGCTTTGGGATTTATTGACGTGTCAGAAGAGTATCCTGCTGTTGCGGTCATTATGTGACTGTGCTGAAAAAGAACCTGCCACAAAGAACAATGTGCATCAACTGTTCCTTTAAATGGCATAAGTTACTGAGTTGCCTTTACCACCAGGAGGTTGTTTATCTTCCTATAACAGCACATCTCAAACTGTTTTATTCCTGTTATACCACTGCAATTTGCCAACAAAAACAAGTTCACTCCTGTTCCCACTTACGTTATAACGGAGAAAAACGCAGCTTGTCATGTCACCAAGAAACCGTGAAACCGTAAATTCCTCTGTCCTGAAAGGTTACAGCTTTACAAAGTGCTGACAGTGGAGACTCCTTCCAGTCGTGGCCTAATGGTTAGAGAGTCGGACTTGTAACCCGAAGGTGAACCTGGAGGTCATGGGTTCGAGTCTCAGGTCCGGCAGGGACTGTACGTGGGGGGAGTGAATGACCAGCGCTCTCTTCCACCCTCAATACCACAACTGAGGTGAGACCCTTGAGCAAGGCACCGAACTCCCAACTGCTCCCTGGGCGCCGCAGCAAAAAATAAAAAGGCTGGCCACTGCTCTGGGTGTGTGTTTATGGTGTGTGTGTGTTCACTACTATGTGTGTGCACTTGGATGAGTATGGGTCACCATACTTGGCCACACATCACTTCACTTCACTTAAATGTTAAATAAAAATCTCCTTGCCTTGTCAATGATTACACACATCCTTTAAATCTGAGCTGTTACTATATATACAGTAACGTATTAGAACAAGAGCTGGAAGAGGAAACATCAGAAATTGGTATTAATCTTAAATTACATCAGGATTGGCATGTTAAAATTTATAAATGTGTCTAAAATCGTGCAGCTAGAAACAACCCTGAACTATGAAAAACTATATATTTACACACTATTAATCGGTAGTTAACAGCTATGGCATTCTTATCTTTTCTGATTTTTAAGCTGTTTTTTCCCTGCAGAATTCAAATTCTGTTCAAAAAACAGCAAATTCACTGAAGGGGAAAGGTCGAGGGATGTGACAGATGTGCATCTGCGTCAAATAGGAAACAAACATGTCGATTAATAAAACACAAGGGGGGAAAATGTGCTCTGTATCGCCCTTTAACATATTGTCCCCGGGAATTTACGTTTCAACAACAACAACAACAGCAAACAGTCAGAGCTCCGAGTCCCAGCCTGCTCCATCCTGCAGCGCATGCACAATTTCCTCCTGGCCTACATGGATTTCTAATCCTGTTGATCGCTGCTCTTCTTGAAAGATCATTTGTTTCGGTACAGGACGAGATCTGCGAAACCATTAGACCCTGAACCAACATAATGCCCTTCTTTAATTGTTGTTTGCTTCGTGGGTTTAGGAGACAGCAGTAAAACGTAGGTCTGTTTCATAAATCGTGATTTATTAGGGCGGAAAGTTCATTGTGTTTTATGAGAGCTAATGAACGAGTGTGCAGTGTTGGGGGAAGAAGAGAATATTATTTAAAGTCTGAGGAATTTAGACAGATAAATAGTTAGAACGATTTAGCTACAGTAATACACTATTCAGTAGAAAAACCTTATAAAAAAAAGTATTATAAATGTGTGTGTGGTGGGGAGGGGGGAGTTTGGTGTGTGTTTTAATAACTATGGCTTCTAGTATTGAGTCATTAGTCTATTCACGGAGTCTAAATGAAGTTTTCTAAAGACGCAGCTCGTCACAGTTGACTAACACAACATAGAACACCCATAAACTCAGAGCACATTGTTGTGCTTTGTTTTGTTTTGTTTTTTAAAGATAATCCCTAATTCCTTATTAGTTGTGTGCTTAATGATTGCACAGGGAAGCAATAACAATGCACACAGAGCCGCTCCAGCTCCACAAAACAGCACTGCTTTCACCGTTTCGTATCACAGATGCTCCACTCTGCCATGTTTATGAGTTAAAGGATAAGTAGGAAACAAAACGTGGAACATCCGTGAAAGCTAGATAGTTCCTGTTCTCACTTGCGTTATAGCAGCTGTAAACCGTCGTCCCCTCACCAACGCTAACGCTACGCTCTCTACTGAAGTTAATAAGACAAAGAAAAACGCAGCTTGTCGTGTTACCGAGAAACCACAAAGCGTAAACTCGTCTGTCCTGAAGATGTAGGAAAGGTTACAGCTTTACAAAGCGCTGACACTGGAGACTCCTTCCATAAACGTTAAATAAACATCTTCTTACCTTGTCAATGATTACGTACATTCTTTAAATCTGTTTACTTCCGCCATGCAAGTCCCTATGAATGAGCTGATACTATATATATATATATATATATATATATATATATATACGATAACGTATTAGAACGTGCGCTGGAACAGAAAACGTCAGAAATTGGTATTAATCTTAAATTATATCAGGATTGGCATATTAAAATTGTCTAAAATCATGCGGGTAGAAACAACCTTGAGCAGCTAGTGCATTCTACCTTTTCTTTAATAATAAAAGCTTTTCTGATCTTTAAGCTGATTTTGTTTCCCCTGCAGAAAAGCAAATTCACTGAAGGGGAAAGGTCCAGGGACGTGACAGATGTGCATTTGCGTCAAACAGAAAAACAAACATGTTGATTTTTGGAAAGTCAGGCATGGTTTGCTTCCGTTCACGTCTAAATTATTACGAGGTCACACTTTTATTAGCATATTCCCATACCCGAGTGCTAATTACGGCTTGACAGAATGATGATACGCACTCCTATTGTTGTTGTATCTAAAATTCACTTCAACTGTATTACTTTTAACAATGAGCTGTTTCAGCTGAGCATCATTCATTAACTCTGAGAAATCATACGCAATAAAACATAACTTTGGATCATAAACGATACAATTTTTGTGCTGGACCCATTATAGCACGCCTGATTGTTGTTCATGGTTACAGTCCAGCTTGCTTGCATAGTACGAGGAGAAATGATTTAGAAATGAGATGAAATGTGTGACTGGATCTACTTAATTATTTAAGTATTAATTAAAAAAGTAACACTGACTGAAATATTTCACAGCTGTCCTGACACTCAAATCTTTTCTTCTGATGAGTTTCTTTCGGATTAATTCTAAAGTAATTAATTAGAATTACAGACACAAATTACAGACAAAAGAATTAAAAGCGTATGCAAAATCTGTCCATTCTGATAATAAGCTGATTTAGTTGTTAAAGTGAAAACTATTTAAATACATAAACTAGTATTAATTAAATTAAAGTGTATTATGCAACATTCAGGATATAAAAGGTTGCTATTTCATTGCTACAGCAGGTTTTTTTTTCTTATTTGCATACAGATCTGTTTTTTTTTTTTTACTCATTTGCTTAAAGGAATGCTTTTGTCAATATATTTGCATAAAAGTGTTTTTTTTCCCCCTCTAACTTTTGCCTCTTATTTGCATAAAGTTGTGTTTTTAGACATTAGTATAAAGGTGCGCTTTTCATTCATTTGCATAAAGACATGGTTTTCGTTACTCATTTCCATAAAGGTGTGTTTTTAGTTATTAGTGTAAAGGTGCGCTTTTCCATCATTTGCATAAAGGCGTGGTTTTCGTTACTCATTTCCATAAAGGTGTGTTTTTAGTTATTAGTGTAAAGGTGCGCTTTTCCTTCATTTGCATAAAGGCGTGGTTTTCGTTACTCATTTCCATAAAGGTGTGTTTTTAGTTATCAGTGTAAAGGTGTGCTTTTTATTCATTTGCATAAAGGCGTGGTTTTCGTTACTCGTTTGCATAAAGGTGTGCTTTTTTCACTTATTTGCATAAAGGCGTGGTTTGTCTACTATTTGCATGGAGATGCGGTCTTCTCGTTTGCATAAAGGTGTGTTTTTAGTCATTAGTGTAAAGGTGCGCTTTTCATTCATTTGCATAAAGGCGTGGTTTGTCTACTATTTGCATGGAGATGCGGTCTTCTCATTTGCATAAAGGCATGTTTTCATCACTGATTTACATAAATATGTACATGTACTTTTTCACTCGTTTGCATGAAAGCTTTTTTTCACTTATTTGCATAAAGGCATGTTTTTATTATTCATTAAATGATTGCGTTAATAATTTAAATGATTTAAAAATGTAAATTAAATACTATGAAGTTAATAATTAAGTACTGTTAATGAACTTAGTATTTAGTATATAAAAGGTTTCTCTTTTATTGAAATACTTCTCAGCATATTTGCATTAAGGCGTGTTTTTGTTTTTACTCGTTTGCATAAAGGCGGGGTTTGCGAAGGCGCGCGCGTGCGCGCGTGAGAGAGAGAGAGAGTATCCCGTTGCCGTGACAACCCGGAAAGCGTGCCAGTCGCGCGCTCGCGCAGGGGGGCAGCACCATCAGCAGCATCAGCAGCGGCGGCAGCGCGAGCGGCAGCAGCAATGTATAGCGGGGCGGCGGGAGCGCGCGCACAGACCGCGGAGAGAGAGCGCGCGCGCTCCGAATCCACTCAGGCTGTGCCTCCTCGCGCGGCGAGCGGCGCATCATCACGGACCGGATCTCTGCGTCTCCTGTGTTTATTTTATTTTTTTTAATCCCAAACTCGCGGTTGTTTTTCGACCCCCGCTTAATGGTTTAGAGAGAATCCGCGCGCAGAAGTGAGAGAAATTTTCAGGAGACAGTTTCGGGACGGTTGCAAAGCCACTCGAGCGCTTTTCATCACCTTTATTTTGAGCACGCACATACTTTTTTTCCTCCCTCCTCTTCTCTTCTCTGTCTTTCTCTTGGATCTATCCCCGCGTGTTGTGTGCCGTGATGTCGGTGCGGAGGAGCGCGTGCTGCTGGTGCCACTTGCACGCGACCCTGTTCCGACTGCTGTGTGTTCTTCTGCCCGCAGGCTTTCCCGCACGCAGCGTGGACGTTCAGCGCGCGACGGACAACATCACCGTGCGCCAGGGAGACACAGCCGTCATCAGGTAAGTGTGTGTGTGTGTGTGTGTGTGTGTGTGTGTTCTTTTTTCGCGCGTGCAACTTTTGCGCTTGCGACTCCACGTATATGTGCTTTTATTTTATTTTGTTTTATTTTTATTTTTTGTTTTTTGTGGATGCACGAGCGCTTCCGTTCCTGATGCTTGGTTTCATGTCACTGCTTTTGGATGATATTTTCGGATGCTGTGTGTCCAGTGGGGACCTTAAATGATCTTTTAAACTATTTCAAGTATAATTCAAATCATGCAATTTAATACTGGAAAGTATTAAAAAAAAAAATCTTCCAGATGCTGGAAAAAGCGAAAAAAAAAGGAAAATAAAATGCGCATGTAAATATTAGAGTTGTGAGGCTTTCTGCTGCATATTGGCAGCTTCTCTTCTGGGTTAATCTGCATGCACTTCATTAGTTGTTCTCCTGCTGTGAGGAAGAAGCGGTTCACAAATAAATATAAAAAATCAGAAGAGCATGATAATGCCATCTGCCATCCAAATGTCCAAATGTTGTTATGGAGA